AAAAAAAATTGAAAAAAATTGTATTGTTCGATACATATGCGTACCGAACCGAAAGCACTGTATCGAACGGTTCAATATCGATACGAATATCGTTGCACCCCTACTTTTTATATTTATTTACTGAAATAATCAGATTTCATCGTTCTTTTTCCTCAATTGAGTTGATTTTTTTTTTTTAGCAAATCTAAACTAATTACATTGTTCCTTAAGAACAGAATTTCATTTTCATCTTTGGTAAAAGATGGTGAAAGAATTCACCATTCCCAGGACTGACCTACCTATACATTGCGGTTCATGAGACCATTTCCCACGTTCACAGGTACTGGTTGCCCACCAACCCTCCACTACAGGTTTATATCCGTTATCACAGGAATAAGTGATCGTGGTTCTGTCAGAGTAAGTCTCTTGTCTGGGGAGAAAGTTACCATGAACCAGTCTGGGAGGATCACAACCCTGTGCTGATGTACAATAAAGAAAAGTGTTTAAAATCCCACATAAGTCTCACATTTACAAACTATAACAGAATTGAATCTTCTTACCTTGAAGCAATCCAGGAAACAAAACGAGGACAAATCCAAGAGTCCTGAGACACATTTTGCAGCAATGAAAGCACGATGTGAAGGCAGAGTAAAGAGCCGTGTTCTGCTGGACGAGTTAATAATTGTTGGGAATTTCCCCCAAAGAACTAAGAAGTCAGGACACAGTAAACATTGCGCTGAGTAACTCTGGCTCTGGTCCATATTTCTTAGACATATGTTGTATAAATAAACTATTGCTGTCAATAGATTAAAAAAAAAAACAAACCCTAATTAATCTCACAATTTTCTGTAATTAATCACGATTAATGGCATGTACTTGATCAACAGCCTGGTTGCATATACATTTTTTTCCAACTTTATATTTAAGCTTGTAACTGACATTTATGCAATATAATGAAGTAAATGCAGAATAAACACAAAGAATGTATGCTTAAATTCAAAGAGGATTTGTGTAGTTTTCTTCAATCTTTTAGCACAGGTTCTCTGCTGTGAAATATACCTTAAAAAAACTATGTACTAATAAGTAAGTATACACTAATATTTTAAGCTGGAGGTGCTTCGGTGAAAAGAAAATTCCTTCTTGCACAACGTGCATAATACTTTATGTTGGTCGATTGTTCCATCTTGTTATGTTTTAAATACTCAAATTTCCCATTGAGAGGGCCAATGTGCGTTTATCATTTTCCATATTGAGTTGATTGGGTCAGCTGCCCGCTAGTGGCATATTGAAATATTGACTTTTTTTTTTACCAGTAATTTATGTTCTAGAATCAATTCTCGTATTAAAATATTGATATTTTAGTACTTTGTGGAAAATTTGTAGTTTTTCATTAACAGGAACACAGTGGAAAGAAACTATATCATTCGGACCGTCTAAATTAGAAGGAACTACTTCTTCTTACACATTTCACAGTCATATGCAAAATATGGCTGTATAAATGTGTCGCAGCCCCTTGGCGTGCGCACTCACAACAATGTGTGTGTGACGGAGTCATGTGTGGACGTATTTTACCTCCACAAACAGCCAAGACGCAGTGGCAACACCACTAACCTCGTCAAAAACCTCAAATCATATCACAGAATATGATGAGCTTATGTTGAGGCGAACTGAAGAGGAGGAGAGGGACAGGTGCTGCTAGGGAGAGACAGACATCTCTTGCCGAGTCCTTTAGCGTTCCAGTCAGGCAACATGCTCAAATAGCGCACAACTTCAGGTTTTTTATTTCTATATGATTATTCTGCATCATTAATAATAAGAACAAGTAGACTGATTCTTCTCTGGAGAGAGACCTGACCTCTGTGGCATCTGTGGTTGAAGTTTCCATAGTGACAACTGCTACAGATGGGTCCAGTGACTGTTGGAGAGGCTTGATGATGACAAAAGTTTCAGACTCTATTATTAACATGCCTTTGTTATAGCTATACTTCTCTATATTTGCTAAACTGTTCCTTGGACAAGCTTCACCTCAGTCCAGTGTAATATATTCATATTCCAGGTATTCCTCATAAAATGAGTTTGTGACATGAGACCATTTTGATAATTATGTATTTTTTTCATTAATTTAAGTAAATTGCAGTTTTTGTATCACTACCTCACTCTTTCACAAGTGGTGTCAAAAATGACCCCGAGCAGTTCCTATGGAATCTTCTATGAACCTTTAATTCTTCGCATCTCTGACTGTCCCCCTTAGACATCTACCTGCCAAGTATGGCATTAAAATCTTTTGGGTGTGTGATGCACCCACCCCATATGCAATTGATGGGATCATGTACCTAGGGAGACAACCAGGGGAAGACATCCAGAAGAATCTGGGGGAAAACATTGTCCATCAGTTGTGTAGTGGATTCAGACACACAGGTCGCAACATCAACACTGACAACGTCTTCACCAGTGTGCCTCTTGCAGAGCATCTCCTGGAGAAGGGTCTTACTATTGTGGGAACTTTGCGACAGAACAAGCCAGACACTCCTCCAGTTATGAAGGCTTCCAGGTCTAGAGAGGTCCACGGCACTGAATATGGGTTCAATGGCAGTGTGACCATGATCAGCTATGGGAGAAAAAAGGGAACGGCTGTTCTGCTGCTCAGCACAATGCACCACAGCGAGATGGAGGATGAAAACAGCCCGAAGCAAAAACCAGAAGCAGTTCTCTTCTACAACCAGACCAAAGGAGGAGTAGATACTATGGACCAGATGGTTGGCAACTACACCTGCAAACGCCAGACGCAAAGGTGGCCCACGGTGCTTTGGTACAACATGATTGATGTCGCTTGTGACACCTCACATGAACAGTCGACTGGAAGGTACCCCGACCCTACCAACCTACATCACTGAAGCAATGGGAAGGTGTGGAGTGACAAAAAGTGCTCCGATCTGGCAACAGGAAAGAAGCACACAGCAGAAGAGAAAGAGGTGCCAGTTGGGTCCAAGAAACAAAGATCGCAAAGCCACTGATTGCTGCTTTGTGACAGCTGCACACAGTGAAAGGAGATAAGATGTTTGTGTGTGTGTATATACGTGGACAGGGTTATGGTCTCTGGACCTGTTGAATGTTCTCTTTTCGTCCTCCATATAGGGACACACAAACATGTTTTGACACCTAATTGACCTGATTGATGGTTAAGTGCTAAAATGTGAAGGAAAGGAAAGAATTTACATGTCAAGTCTGCATGAAAGAATTTAAAGGAAGTCTAGAAATGCACTTCAGGACTCACTCAGGTAAGGAAGCAAAGGAATCAGTGGAAAGTGTCATTAGTCATTGTTAGGCTGCTTTTTTTATTCTTTACATCACTACCACTTTCCCACGCTGATAATCTCAATACTCTCCTTATTGAAACATCATTAATATTATGATATGACATAACCCCAATCACAGCTTGAACTAAATCCTTAACGTTTTGCTTGGTTTTGGAAATGAAGCTCTCTGCTACATTCTTATTCCAAATGGATTTATTATTAAAAAATACAAAACAAAAACACAACATGTACATAAGTGTTTACTGCCTTTGCCAAGACACTCAAAACTGAGGTAATGATTTATAGGACCAGGATCAACAAAAAAAACCCTTAACCTAAAAATTATAGTTCATACAAGTTTTTGGTTTATTGTCAACATATATAAAGTATTGTATAAAGATTTAAAATATCATGTGACCTCATGTGACCATGTAATGGATGATAACATGTATTTTATCTCAGAATCTGTCACAGACACCCAGTGTTTGTTATTGTCTGACTAAATGCATTTTTCTCCCACATATTAAACATGTAACCAAAATTGGATTTTATCATCTAAAAAATATAGCCAGAGTCCCGCCCTATTCTCTCTCGGGCCAACACGGAGATGCTGATGCA